TCTCTCTCTTCTCTCTCTCTCTGTCTCTCTCTCTCTCTCTCTCTCTGTTTTCCCTCTCCACCTTTTCTCCTGCTGGTATTATCGTTCTTTCTCTTCCATTTGCACCTTGCTACTTGCTCTTTCATCTTGCTCAAGGTTGACTCAAAGAGCTCACACCAAGTGCCTCATTTCTGTTCTGGGCAACCGCGGGGTGCCTTGCCTGGTGTTCTTTGCATTGCTGTTGTGCATTAGACGTGTCTTTGTCTTGACTGGACTACACGTCCTTCGCTTTAATCCATACAAGAAGACACGTATCATCTGAAATTTCATATCACACGTGTGATACTTTGTGAATGATGTGCTAAAATCTTTATCTTCGTGAGGTTCTGCGATAAGCTGAACCAGAGGTATGGCCCGTATCATAAGAAGGGCTGCCTCAGCCTCGTTCAGGCATGGCCCCGGCCAGGCTGTCCAAAGAAGAGCGAGGACACACAAAGTCATAATGGAATCAGTAACCCAAGAAAAGAAAAAGCTTCGGAGTGTCGTATGTACATTGTCTACTTCAGCTTGGCCAAATGATTAACAACACGCAGATCTGTTTTGAAGCGCAAGCACCAAGTGGTTACACCTTCATTCCTGCAGGAAATCCGCAACTCACTACAACGTGCAAGGAGCGGTGTCGAGACGAAGGTCTCCAAATCCACGCAGTATCGGTGAGAACCCTATCTGATCGCCAATGACCAACACTGCTCAATTTTTTTCTAGACTACCCCGCACCATCGCCATCACAACCTGTCACAGCACGTTCATCGGATAGGATATCATTTCCCTAGCACTGTGGTGGCAGCCGTTTGCTCAGAATTGGGCTTCTACCTGACAAGCACTGGTAAAACAGTGCTTAGTACATTTCCCGCAAACAGGATCGAGAATCCCAGGCAGACTGATTCTGAAATTTCTCAAAAAACACTCGACACAGAAGCACGGGATGCCTTGAAGGATCTCTTTCCGAATATACCAGACAAAGACTTGAATCAAATTATCAAGACCGCTTTTCAAAAGGTACGTATGTCCCCAATCTTGACCTGGGAAATGAGGATGTAGAAAACCTGATATCCAAAATAAGGGTCAGAAAAAAGTTGGGACGGCCACAGAATTGCCTTTGGCTCGTAGAGCTCAACTCGCTGTGGTTGCTCACATTAGGCATGTCTACACTGATTACGATCGCCTCCTGAAAACTACTTCATTCCACGAAGCAAGAGGGGTTGTCGAACACACAACTCTAGCCAAAGTTATCGAGTGGCGAGGGGACGATGAGAATGGCCAGACAGTTCTGGAAGATGTTTTCCGCGAGGTTATAGTAATCTCGGACGACGAAGACAGTGAATCAGACGAAGATACCGCTGCTTCAGCAGGTCACCAGAACACCAGTGTGGAAATTCTTCCAAGCGATACCCGGGCCCACGAGATCCAGTGTCAGCCTATCAACAACGCGAAACCTCTTGGTCGGGATCTTCTACGAGAGCTATCCGAGGAAGCGCCACCTGGATTCCGATTTGTCACAAGAGCACCAGCCACAGACACCATCAACCGTCGAGGATTTAACAGGTACAAAGCATGGACCCGTGCTGTCAAGGAGTATAGAGAGGGTATACGGGGCACTGAACAACCTAGGTTTTCTGGACACTCAGCTGAAAAGCAGAGCCCACGGTATGCCGAGCGGCGCATTGCTGCTCAGGAAATATCTGCTGCTAGGCGCCAGGATACAATTCCTCGGTGCGCCGAGGTTCATCGGCGAGTCGCTCCAGGCTCAGCAAGCAATGATTACCAAGCACATCGGGTGCTCGCTATCCCACTAATGAACCGACAGTTGACCAAGAGACGTGTAGATGTCCAGGAGAACTACCTTCACTCGGACGCCCAACAAAAATACTCAGCCCATGAAATGAACGCCAGGCCAACTGGACTAACTGACCAGGAATCACCCGAGCTGCAAATCATAGAAGAACTCTCTGTACCTAGAAATGTGATCATGACCCACTTGCACGATGATCCTCCCTCTAGGATGGAGCCCAGAGTTCGACAAGAAAAATTGCCTCCTCGGTCGGACAGGACCAACGCACCTTTTTTCGTGAGCGGACCAAAAAATAATCGTCAGAAACTGACCTCAGTGGGACGCCGTCTTGACTCCGTCGGTTCCCCACTTTTCAGACCAGGTTCAAACGCACAGGATTCTGTCTTGCCCTCTATTGAAAACTTCCGGCCACCAGAAAATCGGCAGACTGACGGTGCGTATCCTTTGGTACATGTGACCAACAAAATATCCCTTCGGTCGGTCACGCCAGGGCGTCGTCAAGGAGAGGTGATGCATCAGTCCGATGCTGTCGAGATGGAAGCTGATAGCGAACAAGCGAGCAAAAGAAGACGCCTGGCATGTCTTGAAGATTCTCGGGTTTCCCGCCCAGACCTGTGGAGTGCAAGGCCTATGAGACTTCCTGTGTTCGAAGGTCTCGGGTCTCATTCTTACGATCGCGTTGAGCTTGTCCCGGACCACCGACCCTCGGACCAGCTTCAACTCCGTCGGGATCATCTGCCAGTGGAAAAACCTCCTGTTGTAGGACATCAGCGGGAAAGGAACCTGAACTCGATTTCTTACGTCAACGTACAACATGGCCTAGAAACAAGGTCAGTCTTGGGTCGACAGCATATGAGCGGACCATACGAGCCTCAGCCTCAGGCTGGGCTTTCCAGTACCAGTATCAGTGCCTCAGAAGGAGATCGCACCTTGAAAGCAGCTCCAGCCGTTTCCAATTTTGGACCGTGGCATCCTTACCGTGGTGATCGTAGTCTCCGTTCGGACCGTGTTCCGCAAAACCCACGGGCTATTCGCCACACCCGCATTGACGGTGGCCGCCCATTACCGGAGAGTGTCTACCCAGACAGGAACCTGTATGCTGAGGACTTTGTCCGGTATGTTGATCACCGCGAGCCCCCTGTATTGGAATATGCCTCCAAGCGTGCGGAATCCGAAGCCAAGCCTGTTGGAGACCCTTGTCCGTCCAGTGGGACTAGAAACCTTGGTTGCCTTGGCGCAAAGAATCTGTCTCGGACCCAGGTTTCGTCAGATCAACGTGGCCCATTGCCCCTAGGACCGCGAATGGCTCCTTCCCATGACCAACTTCGCACCTTTTCAGACTCTGTCATAGGAAAGATCCAGCCTCACGTGTCTTCCCCTCATGTCCCTCGTGAAAGACCAGCCAGTGGCGGGTTTAACTCCTTGCGGTAAGCCTTCATTGGGGAAACCAATCAGTTCAACAACATGACTTCCCTTTTGCCGTGCGAACGTTTGAATTCTCTACTAACGTAGATATAGGCCATCCTACAATAACCCTCCCTCATCCCAGACCATGGAGCAAGATCGCCCAGTCTACGTTCAAAGAGTTGAACCACACTCACCCTACTATTCCCTCCTTAATGGAAGGCATTTTGTCATTGTTGATTAATTAATTCTACTCTGTATCACATCCCCCTTTCGTTGCGAGATTTGTTTTTGTATTCGCACTACATTGCATTGTTGTTCATGATACCCTTGTGCATATTCTTAGAACCTCTTTCATCATGGGTCTCAATACCAATTTGAGTCGGGAATTATAATTCCCCTATTCTGAATTTATTTCACTTCTCATCAGGGTCATTTAGTCAGGGAAATTCCAGAGCAACTTTGAACCCTTCCAGAGGTTGGAACGCACGCTGTTGATATATTCTGCCTAGCACTGCCTAGCACTGCCTAGCAGTCCAGTCTAGTCTTGGGCCTGAGTTCTACGAGCTTAGGCAAGCTCGTTGGGAGTGACTTCCAGGTCTCACGCAAACAAAAGGGTTGACAAGACCGGAAACACCATGGGCATAGAAAAGATTTAAACCTCCTTGCTCTCCCCATCCGCCTCTCCGCTATTCACAGTCTTGCCGGTCTTCTTAATCTTCTCCAACACGTTGTCGTAGGAAAGAGTAGGCTCGGTGGTGACATTAACTGTCTGGGTCTCGAGACTGACATCGAAGGTCTTGACACCTAAAGACCAGCGTGTTAGGATCAAAAAGCGATGGAAACAGGCATATCGCTTACCCTCCAGCTTTTTGAGGACACGCTCTACGGCACCGGAGCATCCGCTGCAGGTCATAGTCACATTGAACTTGTACTGGTGTTCAGGCATGGTGGGAATTTGATTTGGGTTGGTGCGGGGATGTTGAGAAGAAGATGGTTGGCGGATCACAGTGGACTTTTGAACTTCAGGCAAATGACAAAAAAACGGAGAAGTAATTGAAAGTGAGATGGAGGGAGAGAAGGAAGATTATATATGAACTATTTTCTATTTACTATGTACTTTTCTACTAGTTCTCCTCGGGATTCTGTATTTGTCAGACTTCATCCCTTGGTGAGCCATATTCGCCATTGGTTGACCAACGTTATACCCAGGTGATTTATAGTGGAGTATGTGTTATAATTGATATGTACAAGTCACTTCTAAAATCCAGCTTGTCTCTTCTTCTTCTTTTTCGGCTTCTTGACTGTACGAGTTCCAAAAACCCCCCGCTCCATCTGGGTCATCGGCATACCATCGAGTTGACTACTATTGATATTCACTCGGGGAGGTGCAACTGGCTGACTGCCCCATGCTCGGACCATGGGGACTGTCGGAGTCGAAGGGAGGGTTGGGTCGCGAGTCTGTGAGCGCTTCTTCCGTCCATTCTTGGATGTGCGCTTCAAATTCCGCTTCTCCTCGTCATCGATCCTGTCCCATGTATGATTTTGGGGGTTAGTTCCCACCGGCCAATGGGAGAGGAGGTTTGCCACCTTCCGTGGTGTTGGACGTGGGGTCTTGAATGTGATGAATGCTGAGAGACCACCCAGGACTGGGACAGCAGTGTACTTGGATTGCTGGACGGGCATAGTGTCCCGTCTAGATCCAAACGTTCGGCTTTTGGCCTGGCTTGCAGTCTGTGATGACAATAATGCGAAGTAGCTCGATTGGTATTTATTCTGTGCCGCGGCCTTCTCATTTGCCTTCTGAATTGCTCGTTCCTCGACCGGATCTGCAGGCTTGGATAGTATGACGCTATCTAATGAGGTAGAGATTTTGATTAAGCGTGAAAGGATGAGATCGGCAGCAACTCTCCGAATGAGTTTCTCTTTCATAAGTCGTGTCTGCACGGAGATGGTACAAGGCAGGGTGGACATCCAATCATCGATCATTCGATCATAGGTATTGAGAAGATCCCTGTCTGCTTCGCCTGACAGTCTGGCCGGCATGCCATAACTCCCATTTGAGGATGGGACTGGTAGAAGCATATACCGGCAGTGAGCGTCGGGGTCCGCGTGCTCGGGCACGAGCGCTGCAATGAGCCGTTTCACATCATCTGCACTTTCATCAAGACCCTCAGCCAAAAGCCTCTTGCCGGTCATTTCAACAATCGTCCTGCCTGGAGGCCGCTTTGATCCATTCTCCATTTCGCTTTGTAGAAGTGCCATCAATCCACCAAGTGTCCTTGGTCTGGGCCTCAGTCTCTTCTTTTGCCTTTTTCGACGAACTTCCAGCTTCCCCGTCGCTATTCTGTAGACGCCAGAAAAATCTAATGTCCACTGCAAGTCCGACCTTGGATCAAAGCGGCTCATTTTAGGCTTGCAGCGACGAACAATCGTTTTCTTTGTGGCTGATTCGTCCCAATCATTCACCAGAAAATCATCAGTGGGTCTGATGTACGATGTCGGAGCATAACGCCTTCTTAATCGCAAGACACTATTTTCACGAAACAAGTCCGGCTCGTCTGGATCTCCTCGTGGACCCTTGAAAGTGGATTCATGAACAGCAAAAGCCGAATCCATCCAGAAAAGCTTGATCAATGGCAAGTGGGTGTTGTAGAAATTCCGGCCCAGTGGTGAAACAGAGTGGGCAATCTCTCTAAATACGAATCTCGAGAATCGCACAACAGACTCAGGTTTAGTTGGCAGTCTCTCATCCAATAGGGATACATCGAACACTAGGGGATCGGGTACAGACACACATTCGGTATATTCGTTGGATATAAAGGGACTTGGAAATAATTGCACCAGCGGGGTGATCTGCGAATATAGAACGAGATACAAATCTGGATAATGATTTAGCATTGGAATTCCGGGTTCGGTCGCACCGGCACATACCTTGATATACGACTATGTCACTAAGTCGCAAAGTTGTGTCTTCGGGGTCTCGAAAGTGCCTCCAGGACACTTGAGGGTATAAAGAAAGACTTGTATCATCTTCGCTTGGTAGGGCTCCGACGTCAAACCACGATATTCGAGTTGTCGTCAGGACGCAGAACTGTGATGGCTTGCGTGGGTTTCTTTGAACGTCTAGAACCCACTCGGACTGCTTTGCCATTCCAAGCTCAACCGTACGTGGCGGAATCTGGTTGTCTGTGAAGGCATAGATTATGGCACTGCGACGATTGGAGACAACTACCGATCCAACATTATGGATCCACTCGATAGATGCCCAGCCATCAACCCGGGGGCAACCTTGTTTGCCTTTATAATCCCGCAAGGGCAAAGAGCCTGATTTGACGAGCTCAACGGCCCAGGTAGACTGCTGGAGCCGCTGCCTACCGGTGATTTCCCAGACACTCCACTTGCCTCTGGTATCCACAATGGCGAATTGTCTCTGGTACCAGGGGTTGAAGGTCACATCGGCATGTGAGAAGCCACCTGTTCGCGACACCAATACCTGCGCGATGGGATTTGCATCTAGTCGAGAGTTTTTTAAAGGGGCGGTAGATCCCAGCATAGTATCTTCCGGGAAATGCATAGGTACAGGGTCCCAGTGGTAAAGAGGTCGGAATATTGTGGTCATCGTGGCGAGACGAGCGGCCATGAACAAAGGCTTCTCCTCCAAGGGACGTGCAAAGTGTACTTGACGTACCGGTGCCCCACAATTGGACCATTCAGACATTTCGATGTGACTGATTGATGGAGCACGAAATGCTAGCTTCTGTGGAGAACTCAACTCCAAAATTTCTTCTTCCAGTGTGCGGAAGGAGACTACATTACGAGATTCCCCGGTAACGGCGACCGCAATTGGAACTGAGCGCAGCCTTTTGTCATGACGCCTTTGGTCCACCGCATAACCGATATCGAACAGCTCAGAGATCTCCGGGTCGTATTTCTCGGTGATAGTCGTAACAGCTTTCGACAAAGGTTCGGCGCGAATAGAGGACCATGATGCCGCCAAATCGGGATGCGCGTTTGTGATCACTTTCCTGGGGTTTTTCTCGGGCACTCTGGGTATAGGTCGAGCCTTGGGTGGGCGAAAAGGCGATGGGATTGTTGTCTTGGTGACTCCCGTATACTGGATAGATGGGGCTTGAAAAGACGTTAGCTGGTTCGTAAAGAGATGATTCAGTTACTTACGCCTAGCAAAAGAGCGAGTAAATATCCAGTCTTGCTCATCAGGAAGGTAGATAGCTCGTCCGACGTGCCCATAGTGGAGAGCACTGCTTGGATGATGTTCATCCATCGGATCTTTCTTTGCTTCTTGCGATCAGTTCAGGACTTAGCGAAAGCATGTCGATACTGGCGCAACATTAAGAGTCCACTCAGTCACAGACATATGCGCAGAATGTGGGGATGAAGCAAGAGAGCCCTGGAGACTTGCATGGGAAGTTTTTTGGTCCTTATCGATAAGACTCGGAATTGTTGCGCCGCAACCCAAAACAACTCTGGCATTGTCCCCGCATCGACCTCAACTTCACCACTTACCACTCACGATTCACATCTCGGATACTATGACTTCTTCATTCGAACCGTCGCTCTCGACAAGTGGCATGCGCCCACCGCTCGCCTCGGCGGATGCGCCGTCAATGGCAGACTCACTGCCCAATATCAACTTTGGATTCGAGGACCTGCGCAATACCATGGCACAATTCACAGTGAGGTTCGACGCATTTATTGAACGCGGTCGCAAACGAGTCTTGGAGGAACGAAACCAGTTCCACATTAATCTGGCTGAATATGAAGGTAAGGCTTGATTTATTGAACCCCCCCCCCCTCTCCCAATATCCCCACCATACCCCACGACTGTGCTTAATACAACCTACTAGAGGATGAGCGCATGCGACAGCGTGATATCGAAATTCTCAATCTCAAATCACAAACTCACGAACAAACTCTCCAAAAGGAAGCTGCTGAGGCTGCTGAAATGCACGCAGCTATCTCATCTATCACTTTGGAACGCGATTCCCGGCTCGCCAAACGCGACCGCCTAAAGCAGCAAATCGCCGAGACTCAGAAGGCTATCAATCAAAAAGTCGAGGCACAAAAGTCTCACGCACGACATTTAGATGCGCAATCTCGTCTCAATTTCCCAGAGTTGGAGTTTTGGCAGGATTACCTTTGTATTCGAATTGAAGGCGCCGGTCGTGAGGACCGATTAAAATTTGTCTACAGCCATCTATTGGAGAAAGACTGGGAGGCGGA